GGAGAACAAAGACATGTATGTTCCAGCAAGCAGTCCCTCATTGGGCAGATAAGCCCCAACATGAAAATTGGCTAAGAAGCGATTATTAATCAGTCCTAGAGACATGTAGGATTCTTTTTAGTGCTTGAGACCTGAATATTTTACTTTGATAGTTAAGGAGACAATAGCAATAACCTTGCCATAAATTCTATTTATTGATGTACTGCCTTAACGTTATAGAAATGTTACTTGTTCTCAAAAGGCTGATTATAATAATGCAAAAGAATGGGCATCTGATGAGCCAAGATATGTCAGAAATCCTATAGTACAGGTGATGATGCAGAATCTTTTTCTCTTATAGACAACTGGTTTTTGACTGAAGTGATATGTCAAGCTTTTAAGTGCTTGATCTGTTTTTTATTTCTTCTCACATTTGATATCATCACAGATTGGGTGTGGCTTGCAGCAGTGGTAACTTAATGCGGAGAATATAAAATATTTAGAATCTGAAATGCCAAGTTAGAATTTCAAATGTGATTTTAGGAAGAAGGCAAAACTCTATTAACATTTATGCCAAGTGATAATTTTGCAGCTCAGACAGCATCTAGCTACACTGCTCAGAGTTTCTTTTGTAGAAAAGTATATCACTAATTTCTAAAACCAAGGTGACTCTGTTTTCCCCTCCTTGTCTCCTCTGCTGTAAGTATGAACAAGAAATTACTAAACTGAAGGAGCGCCTGAGAGTGTCCAGCCGGCGGCTGGAGGAATATGAACGCCGGTTGCTGGTGCAGGAGCAGCAGATGCAGAAGCTGCTGCTGGAATACAAGGCCAGGCTGGAGGACAGCGAGGAGAGGCTGCGCAGGCAACAGGAGGAGAAAGACAGCCAGATGAAAAGTATAATCAGCAGGTGAGAGGGCCACAAGGGCAGACATGGGCCTGTTGGGGGCACAAGGAAGTACAGAGATGGTCTGAAGAGTCTAGAAGGAAAAACAGCAAAGCTGTTTTCAGCCTTGTATGTACTCTGTGGCACTCAGTACAAAGGTGATGACTGTAATATCTCTTAAAATATCCTAAATATTAGCTCAGCACCTGTAGCTCAAGCAGCTAGGGCACTAGCCGCACACACCAGAGTTGGTGGGTTCCAGTCCAGCCCAGGCCTGCCAAATAACAATGACAATTACAACCAAAAAATAGCCAGGCGTTGTGGCGGGCACCTGCACTCCCAGCTACTTGGGAGGCTGAGGCAAGAGAATCACTTAAGCCCAAGAGTTTGAGATTGCTGTGAGCTGTGACGCTATGGCACTCTATTCAGGGCAACAGCTTGAGACTCTGTCTCAAAAAAATCCTAAATATTGTAAGAAACACCCAGGGCACTTCCTATGAAAATAATGGTAGTCATTAACCAGTTTGATGGAAGTATTTCGGATTGTGTGTGACAACCCCACACTGTACCCTAGAAGTGCATTAATGTACATAGTTACCATTCAATAAAAAAAAAAAGAAAAGAAAAGAATGGTAGTCTGTTTTTCTTTAACCATAAAAATTAGAAAAAACAATCAGAAAAAATAAAACCTCAATGATTCATTTGAGAATCTTGGAGGAGGGCAATTTCAAAATGTGAACATCCAATACCCAAGACTAACTGACTCTTTCAGAACAAGTCTGAAAACATGAAAGGCGTTTTACTGGATAACTGTTAGGCCAGAGTACCAAGAAAGAGTACCCTAGTTGCTGAGGGGGATTAAAAGAGTAGTTGATTTTAACAAACACGTACACACTCTACTCACTATGGGCCAGGCACTTTTCTAAGCACTTTACAAATAACCATTTGTTTGCTCTTTATCATGACCTCTACATAGGCATTATCATTATTATTATTATTTTACAAATAAATAAACAGGCAACAAATTCATTAAATCACTTGCCAAGGTCAGTGGTTCACTGAGATTTGAACCCAGGAATTTAGATTCCAGATGACATGTTCATAACTGCAGTGCCTCAGTATTATCTAACCCTGTGGACAGGTAAAATAAATGAAGAACAGAAAGGTTCATTGCTTTAGTAGTATGGAGATAATTGGCAATCTTACTGAGAGGTGTTTGAGTTGCAGAGTTAAATGTGAGTGGTTTAAGATATGAATGGTGGATAAGAAAGAAACTAGACCTATTAAGTGTATAGTACTCTTTGAGGCAACTTAGCTATGCAAAGGAAGAAAGGACAGTGTGTTCTGGGGTGACTTGAGATTAAGAGAGGGTTGTTTGGTTTTTATTTGGTTGGTTTGATATTTTAAGATTAAAATAAGGTGTGCTGAAGAGGAGGGATCTCATAGCAGAGAAGAGGGAAATGATTAATACTATTCCAAAGGAGAAGAAAATGCCCAGGATTCAGGCACAGGTAGAAAAATCAGCTCTGTACGACATGCAAGGTGGGAGAGAAGACAGAAAAGGTGATTGTGTGTCTGTTACTAGGAAGGAGTGGAGATAATTGAACTATGAAAAGTTTTGAGTTTCTTGTTTTCTACATTAGCTAGCCTTCCCTTTGAAGATGTTGATATCTCCTTCCTGCCACATTCTAGGCTAATGGCTGTGGAAGAAGAGTTGAAGAAGGATCATGCTGAGATGCAAGCAGTTATTGATGCAAAGCAGAAAATAATTGATGCACAGGTAAGCAGGCTCTGAATCTACTAGAAGGCAACTGTTTGTCATAACTATTATTTACTGCTGTCCTTCCAAACTCCAGGTCAGATATGGGAAAATGAGTCATTGAAAAGTTCTTAGCATTACCTTTGAAGATTAAATGAGTTTCTATGTGTCCTCCATTACTCTCCTTTCTTTCACTGGTGACTATTAGCATGCTTAGTGCAGTTGCTTAATAAGTCTCCACCTAGTGCATGATGGGGTTTGCTCCTTTCCTTATGGAAAGGAGGCCATTCTCTGAAGGGTAATTGTGAAAAGTGCACTGCATGTGTCTGGCTTGTGACCTCCACTGACCATTGTTTGGCTGGGCTGTCCATGAACTTGTCAGTCATGTCCACTATCATCAACCACTAGCCCCAGACAGTAATGGAATTGCAGGGGAAAGACAAGATTTTATGAGACGGTATCTTTCCTTATTACTCTGGGTTCAGGGTTTGGCATTGTTGCTTGGAATGTGCTTGGCTGCTCTTTGTTGGTGCTGTGCTTTAGAGAGCCTCTTTTGATAAAACTTTTTTAAAAAGAAGAGGTTGATGAAATCCGAACCTAGGCCTTTGCTCACTATACCTTACACCTGTGACACCAATGAGATGTTGGCTGCCAAGAGCACCTCACAGGGACACATCAATGATCAGAACAAGATCCAGGGTCAGGAAATGTGTCTAACTTCTTTTCATTTTATCAATGCAAACTATGGCTGTATTTCTTAAAATGAAACAAATAAGAAAAAGCAAATACAGTTTTGATAGTGGCCAGCCTAACCACCAAATGTATCACCTCCCTAGTGACAATGCAGCTGGATTTGCATTTTTCAACTTTAAATAACCTATCGTATCCTTATGCTGTGAAAGAAACATATAAGAACCATTTTTCAACTTTAAATAACCTATCATATCCTTATGCTGTGAAAGAAAAATAAGGACTTTATGCATAGATGTTCTACTCCCATCCTACATACCAGTCAGTGTATGTTCAAGCCTCCAGTATTCTTAAACATCCACCTAACAGTCTACTTTCCTTATAGAGTCAGTGTGGGGGGTGGAGTTTATTTTCCAAAGGAATTAAATATGAGGCTGAAAGCATTGTCATGGAAAGAATCCGTTATGAGCCTCTACTTCAGGCATCCTCAAACTACGGCCAGCAGGCCACATGCAGCCCGCCTAGGACATTTATCCAGCCCGCTGGGTGTTTTTGCCGCCGCTGCCTGTCCTGCATAGCAGCTGACTCATCCTGAG